TATATATATATATATATATATATATATATATATATATATATATATATATATAGTTTTCAGTATCAATAATTGTAGCTAATTTTTAATTAGACTAAGAGTAGTTGTATCTTTTGAGATCTTATGGATTTCCAAAAATACAAATGAATGTTTTCTTGTTGAAGAACTATGCTAGTCTAAGATACAAGGAATTTTGTGTGTGTGTGAGTGAGTGAGTGTGTGCATGTGTATAATTTTATTCAGAAAATATAAGTATTAAAAATGGAAAAATTACATATAAAATTAAATACTTGGCTTTGCGGTTATATGCTGCATCAAAGCATCATACCCTCTTGATCTTTTTCTTTGTTCATGTCCTACTATTACTATTTTCTCTCTGTCTGAGAAAAATTAATAATTTGTGTTATGCATGGCTATCTATACAAAATAGCCATGGAGTCAGCTATATAAATATCTCCTCAAAATCTCTAAGTATCTTATTATTTTAAACCTTTTTGTGTCTTATTATTTTTCTAGTCCAAGGTGATGGCAGTAGCAGCAGCAGGGAAAGAAGTGTTAGAATATAAACTGATGAATCAGGGATTAATTCATTAAGAACTTGTTTATGAATTCATTTATAAACTTGTTCTGTACGCAGCTGACATCTGTATCCTATTTTTACATTTTGATCCCCATTTGTTCCTCAGTAATTTTAAGAATATAGATACTCTCGGCATTAATTTAAATAGTTGTAGATCAACAATTACAACATATACCAAGATGTCTGCTCATCGTACTTGTAAACATATTTATAAATAGCTAATATCATTACCCAACTGTGGATACAATTTAGTGTCACTACAAATGGCAATTCAAACAATTTCATGGGCTTCCAATTCTGACTATTTTAAAGCAAGTCTATTGGTTCTAACTTAGTAAGATAACAAGACAGATATGTTTCTGGATGGGGTCTTTTATGTATGTGTATATGAGCTGGTAGACTACTTCTCTTCAGAAGAATATTTGAGTTCTTTCCAATTCTACTTTTTTGGCCAAAAGAATATCTTGCAGATCAATTTCATAGTCCACAAAAGAGCAAGGATTAACTCAGAATTAATTTAAGATTGTTGCCATTCAGAATTACAGAGCAAACAATAGAGCCCCATTAGCTTTATGGAATCAAAAATCAAATTACAAATATTGCTATCTTATGGAGTGTATGTCTTCCCTACAGAACAGCCATGGAGTTTGTAATCACTTTCAGAACATTTTCTCAAAAAGAAATTGAAAATAGATTTAGAATAGCTGTATTATTTCCCATTGAAGTTCTATAATGTATGCTTGTAATGTCTGTTAACTTATGAATATATACATATTAAGTATTTTGTGTTGTTGATTTTTTTTCTTTTCAAGGCTGGATAATACTTTAGAAGAAATTATATTTAAGCTGGTTCCAGGACTTCGAGAGAGTATGTTTTTTGCTCCTCTTAACAAGATTATTTATTTTTGAAATCCTGTTGCATTATTAATTTGAGTTACAAATTTGTTTTTTGTTTTGTTGCTGAAAACTAGAAGAATTGCACCGTGAAGCTGAATTCTGGAAGAAAAACAAACCTATAGAAAATGGAGAAGGTATTTACATTTATTTCACAATGTAGCATTTTAATTTCCAACGTATTAAATGTCAGAAACTGTAGTATTTTTCACTTGCCAATATGTACATCTTACTGAAGGAACAAGCCATCCATCATCAGTGCCTCTACTTTATATAATTTAAACTTTAAATAATTAGGTGTCATAAACTGCATTACTGATTTCAAGTACTTCTTCAGAACTTTTTCTGCCTCACCTAAGTTTGAAAAGCAGAAGTAGAATTTCTCTGCTTATTGATTTTCCCAAATCTCTCAGAGAAGTTTCTGGTAGAAGCTGCACAGCAAGAGGAATAGAAAACAGCTGCTCCAAGCAAGATGGAACTCTCTTGGCACTGCTTCAATGAGATTCATTGAAATTGGTTTCAAGAAAACTTAACCTAGATTGCAGTCTTAGCTTGTTACTTTCTACATTGCTATATATATATGCACTTTTTTGTTTCAGAAGAAAATTCAAATTCTGAAAATCCTAAAGATGGTGAAAATGGAGATGAAAACCAAGAAGATAAAGACTATCACAGGAGTGACCCACAGATTGCTATTTGTCTGGATTGTTTACGTAACAATGGGCAGTCTGGTGATAATGTAGTCAAAGTGAGTTTTGAGCTCTTTACGCGTGTCTATGGAGATTCTCAGTCATCCAGGTCACGGTTGTCCCAAAGGTGCTTTTTTTCAAGAGGCAACTGGACTTTTCCTGTTTTTTCTTTGAAGACATTTCGCTTCTCATCCAATAAGCTTTTTCAGCTTCAACTGAAGAAGTTTCTTGGATGAGAAGCGAAATGTCTTTAAAAAAAACACAGAAAGTCCAGTTGCCTCTTGAAAAGGCACCCTTGGGACAACTCTTTATTCAGTATCAATTAGTAGAATGATGCAAAGTAAATAGATAAACAAGTAAGGGTTGTTATTTGAATGCTGATTTTCAATAATGAAATAGAACTCTGAACCTAATTCCTTATTTTTTTTCTGCAGTTCCCATACCTGGGTCTTTATTCCACTGTTTAAGTGAGCTAATTTTAAAGTTCTAAATATAATTAAAAGTTAAGAAACTCTGATTCTCTTTCACTGTAGTCAGTACTGCTGAACATTATAATACAATAATATTTGCAGGACCTCAAATTCTGCTCCTTTGGATTAAAAGAAAAATATATTTGATTAACAGAGGAAGAATCAGTATCTTGCTCCCAAACGGTTTTTCTATGTTACATAAAAGATTAATGGGATATATATTTTGTCATATAACAAATATTAAATAGTTTTCATTAGAAATTAAATAATAAATAATGTGTTAAAGAAGCCATTACATTCAATAAATTTAATCTGTATAAAATAATTCTTGTATGTCAGCTGAAGATATTATATATTCTAGCATTGGCTAGAATTCAAACTAGTTTAGTATAGTGGTTAAGGAACCAGGCTAGAAACTGGGGGATCATGAGTTCTAGTCCTGCTTTAGCCACGAATACTGGCTGGGTGGTAGGCCAGTCATCCTCTTTCAGCCCAACCCACCACCTCACTCACAGCTTTGTTGTGGGGAAAATAAGTGGAAGAAGGTGTGTTGGATACTTCACAGTCTTGAGATATTTGTAAACAATAATAAAGACAAGGTACATATAAATAAGTAAATAAAATTGGTAGGTTGTCAGATTATGTAGGTAGCATTTGGAGTACAAGCAATGCAGATTTTAATATATAAGTTTACAGTTTTTGTCTCTTTCTTTAGGGGTTGATGAAGAAATTCATCCGGTGTTCTACACGAGTAACTGTAGGAACCATCAAGAAATTTCTAAGTTTAAAATTAAAACTTCCAAGTTCTTATGAGGTATGATGTTCTATCATTCCAAAGTAGTAGACCCTGTGCTTTGACAAAGTGAATTTAAACGACCATAACTTTAGCTACCAAAACCATTTTTCCTTGCATTGCAAATATGGAATGTCATATAGTACATTAATAATCGTTTTCTTTAGTGAAGTGTTCATTAATAATCGTTTTCCTTAGTGAAGTGTTCATGAGACTTATTCCAATATAAATTGGCATTCAGTTTCACTTTTACATGTCATAATCCAATTTAAAAGGAGTAGACTATTAGGAGAACATTTTATAAATTGCTTCCAGATCAGATCACAGTACAAATTCATCTGATCACAATACAAATCAGACGAACACAATACAGAAGCCTGATGATGGCAGATGAGATTCTGCTGAAACATTGCTACAACTTTAAAAGCACAACTATAATGACGTGGGAAAATACCTGAACAATTTTGCAGGTTTTGTTAAAGGCCATGCTTGAACCCCTGGACAATTATTGCTACAGTGCTGAACTAGATGGCTAAAATAGTATAACATCATTTTTTAAAATTTTCTTATGCCAAATAAGACTTTAGTTTTTCTCCTTTCCTCATGCAGAAGATATACTGCATATAAAACAGCACAAGATAATTTCCTAATTTTCATATTCATCTTGCCATTTAAAAAAATACAAGTATATAACTCTTCTATCCTTTTAAAACATCCAGTGATTTAATATAAAGACCAAATAATTCCCAAAATAAATGGGGGGGAGGGGGGAACCAGGCAAATTTAGTTAACCAGCCGTAATGGATGTTCTACTTTCTAAGCCCTTTATTTTAAGAAGCTTCTTTAGATGGAAAATACAGTTGGTGTTTGGGAATAATAATTAAAATCTATGTGAGTAGCTAAAAGTCATTTTGTTTGCATTCTTCTTGTTCATTAAGTAACTACCTTGCATAAGAATGATCAAGCTGTGGTAGGCTTCTAATCTTCTTTTCCTCTTATATATTAATGATTCTCTTTTAGGAAAGATGAACGTAGCTCTAAGCATGTTTTATAAGTAACTGTTTTTTGTTTTAAAGCTGGATGTACTATGCAATGGGGAAATCATGGGGAAGGATCATACTATGGAATTCATCTACATGACAAGATGGAGACTACGAGGCGAAAATGTAAATGAAATAAGTTTTTATTGCTTTTAGTTTATATGGTATCTATATTATAGGGCTGTTAGCTATATATTATTAATCATATTCCTTTTAAATAGCAATAGCAACAGACTCATATACTGATTCACAGTGCTTTACAGCCCTGTCTAAGCGGTTTACAGAGTCATATTGCCCCCAACAATCTGGGTCTTCATTTTACTGACCTTGGAAAGATTAGAAGGCTGAGTCAACCTTGAGCCGGTCAGAATCGAACTCCTGGAGTGAGCAGTGAGTTAGCCCTGCAGTACTGCATTCTTACCACTGCGCCACTAAAAGCTCATAAAAAGCTGTGTGTGAGAGAGAAAGAGGGGTGGGGAGGGAGAAGTGCCCGTGTCTTTCTAGCATCACAGTCTTTTGGACACAGAGCTCTGATGGTACTAGGTTCTGCTGGAGCCACTCTCCAAGCTTAGGAATCACGGCTCTGAGTGCTTCTTCCACCACTGGGATCGCAGAAACGGATCACGAAAAAGCACCGTGTTTGGCAAGCTTTCTTTACTTTTTGTCTTTTTTGGCTTTTCAAAACTGATGGGTAACTGTTCTTCCCATTATCAGCGGGCAACAGTTGAGATAGATAGAAGAAGTGGAGTTAGTAATTGCCAGAATTTTCCTAGGGTGGTGAGAATTAAGAAGAAAGAGGTAATCTTCTTGTCAAACAACTTAGTCTATTTTCATAAAGGGAAGTTGGCTGATACATAACTAAAATTAGGTAGAAAATGGAACAACTATTCCATCAAATTCAGAGATCTATAAGTCAGACAAGGCTAGGATTTGTTGTGTCTCTGTTATTTGAAATCAGGAAAATCTTTACCTTAAACAGATGGGTAAAGCATATAATATTCTTAGCAGGTTTAATATAAATATAAAAGGACTTACAGGAAGAGCACCAACCTTAATGATACCTCCAGTTAAAGGTCAGAGAGCAAGTAGTGAAACTCAGGAGAACTGATAAAAGAGGCAATGCCAGTCTAACTGACCGATAATTTAGTTTTGTTAGTTTTTAATTTTATCTTTCCTCCAAGACCAGTGGGAAATGTTACATATTTTGATATGCACTGCTGATTTCCAATAGCTAAAGTGCATGACTTCTAACCTGCTATACCGTCATGGTATATAATATGTGATAGTTAATTCAAACCATCATGCTTGCATAGACACAGAAGCCATTGGTGTCATATTGTAATTGTTATTTCTTGCTGAAAAAGAAGACAAAAATGAAATCCTGTTGAGGATTTTTGCTTTTCAAGACTTTGATGGGTAACTGTTCTGCCTGATACCAGTTCAGATAGACAGAAGGAGTCAGTAAATGCCAGAATTTTCCTAAGGCAGTGAGAGTTACAAAGAAATCCTCAACCTTGAAGCCTCGGAATGATGCTCCTTTGAATAGCAAGAAGGCAATAAAAAAGTCTGATGCTAAGCTTTTACAGAACCAAAAACTGGAAAAACAATTGGAGGGGGAGATGTGCTAAAAGAGAGAAGGAACTATTTCAAATTCCTTGTGGCTGTTCCAACCACATTGTCCTTCCTCACTGGAAGTATTCTGAAAAACCTCAATTTTTGAGAGGAAAACTGCCATTTCAAGCTTGAAATGAGGTCATCTGAAGATAAGAACAGAGAAGGACAGAAGCAGAACAGTATAAGAAAACTCATGGTGAAGTTGTAATGACTGTTTTCAGCTCAAAACAATCTGAATTTGAAATGTGGGGCATATCTCTACTAAATAACATTTATTTTTCCAAAAACCTACTTCTTTAGATAGCATCCAAGTGCATGAAATTTACAAATGTACTGTTTCAAAAATATGAATTGTAGATAGCACATTGGCATGTAATATGAAGAAACTCCACATATTGTTTTGGAAAATGACCCAGATAAATTGAAAAAAATTAAATAACAAGAATCAAATTTACTTTGGAGCACAAAAAACAACTTCTCAGATTTCTGAAAATGTCATCTTAAATATAGATGTCAGAACAATTGTGACTAGAAAGATAAAATACTCGGGTATACAAAATTTATTGTCTAGTTTAGTGTTTCATGACAGCAGTTCTATAATATGGATATATATAGGACAGTTACATATTTCTATATCTGCTAATTTATTTTCTCTTTTAGTTAAACTATAGTTTAACTCTCTTCAATGCATTTTGTATGCTTAATAACTATTTACATTTTATCCATGCTTTTGAATATTTAATGAATCAAAGAAAGTTGGACAGTCTACAAAATAATAATTCCCATTATCTAACATGGAATAGGAGTACTCTTTGGAACTCCAAATATTGTTATTACTGAAAACCATTTAAAAATACATCTGTTTAAAAGTTGCATAATTCTGCATTTTAACAATTGTTACAAATTAGCTAGAAATAAACAATTACCATTTTTATGAGACCTATTCTTTTACTGAATTCACAATTGGTGTAATTAATGTTAATGTTAATTAAATTTGTTTACATAGTTTTTCCTACAAAATTCCTGGCAATATAAAGATTCAGATTTTTTTTTGCAAATCTTATTGTTAACCTCTTTCTGTCTCCCTTTGCCTCACTGCTATTCTTATTTTTATTAAGCTTTAATAAAATACTTTGCTGCCTTAAATCTAATACTTTAATACTTTGCTGCCTTAAGTCATTCTTATAAGTCAGGGATACTTTAATTCAAATGAGGGGGAAAATTTCCAATATCCACCCAGCCATCCACCTCCAATTATATCTAGAAGATAATTTTATTTAGAGCAGGGGTTGCCAGCCTTTTGGACCTCAGGGACCACCAAACTCATAATTTTAAATCCCACAGATCAGAGACCCTGGGAAAATCCCCAAAAAAGTCTTCAAGAAAATTCCCCACCCCGTTTTCCTACCTGTTTTCCTTCGATCATTATTTGGGATCACAGGATACTGTCTCCACCTCTGTTCTCAGGGGAGGGGAGAGAGAGAGAGAGAGAGAGAGAGAGAGAGAGAGAGAGAGAGAGAGACTTTTGGCTTCATGCGAGGGAAGCAGCAGAAGCAGAGAAGTCTTTCTTTCTCTTGCCCAAACTCTGCCAGAAATGAGTCTTTGTGAGATTTGTTGCACCAGTACAGCCTCTTGGAGCAGTATGCTTGCAGGGTCCCAAAGACTCATTTCTGGCGGAGTTTGGGGGAGAGAAAGAAGGACTTTTGCTGCTTTCCTTGCATGCAGTCAAAAGCAGAAGAAAGAAGCAGCCCGGTGGCCAGGCAAGGCACGTAGGTCGAGTGGGGCAAGTTCCCCCCTCCGCCCTTTTCCCCCTCCCCTCACTACCTCATGTTGTTTGCAATGCAAGTGATGCAAGCCTTGTGTTCCCATGGGCCATGTGGGCAGCACAGCCTGGATTAATTGTTTTGGGGGGTGATTTGGGGGTGACATTTCTCTACGGACCAGCAAAATTTTCTAGTGGGCCACCAGTGGTCCCCGGCCCATTGGTTGGCAACCACTGTTTTAGAGGATCCATGGGTTTTTTTTGTAGCCAGAATTGGGAGAACAAGAAAGCTACACACTGAAGAGATGGAGGTGGATATATATGGCAACAAGAAGGGCATCTGGCCAGTATACACTAAGCTCCATTCAGTTGCCCCGAGTCCACCCCAAAGTAAGGAATTACAGGGTCATTAAAAATAGATTCTTTAAAAAAATTCTGGCAGCCGCATAGTTCATGTCTTACTGGTTAGAAAATTACATTCTTGAATATGCAACTATTTTTAAATTGACTGATGATCAATGTTCAGTTGTGGATGCCTCTTATCTGATCAGAAAATCATCTCCTTCGCAGTTTCGGTGTCAGAACTGCTCCTCATCACAAGTCTGCTCACAGGATGGCTCTTTTTATCAGGTAAGAGGCACTCCCCGACTGTACACATTGTAGTCATTAAGACAATATCCTTTCAAATTCAGTTTAGGTGGGAGCTGAATATGTCTTTCATTTTCTGCTGGACTAAGTTCTTTAGACTAAATTTAATTATAAAGATTGAAGCCTTGGGTTTTTGTCCGAATGTTTACCTAGATTTTTTTTTAAAAAATTGCATGGGGCAAGCTATATTTATTTATTTATATCTTGTGTAGCATACTATAGGCTCTTTATGGGCTCCAAATTATAAAAAACAATTTTGTAAATAAGTTTGAAATAAAGATAAGTATGGTATGTTGTAATATTACAATGATTTAGTTCAGATTTTCTATGCTGTTGATTAATTGTAGCCTTACAGTAAGGTATGATAGGATACCATGTACATGAATATTAACTCAGGTAAAATTATGGTTAATTGCAAGTTGACGGTCTTATTTTTTGTAAACTAATCAGGCTTAATGCTATCAATTATTTCCTTCTTTGAAACTTTGCTAACTTTAGCAATATTCTTTGCAACTCCATTTATATTATCATGACATCATAATGCAATAATAGAATAATCACTGAAATTATTTTGTGTCTACAAGCATGGGACATTAGGATTCATGAATAGTGCTATAGATATTTTGGGAAATGAATATGATAGAAAATTGGTAACCATTATGGTTACACTATCTTAGTTGAATATTTGGTTTCATAGTTTGGGGCTTCAAGGGATAGGAAGCTTAGGATTTTAAAGTTATTTTTATGAAATATTAGAATTGTACTGCAAAATATTATGTTCTGTATAATAATTGTACTTTCAAAGAAGGAGAGTTAGTCCACAAGGCCACCTTTGTCATAATGGGTCTCCACCCTTAAGCATTCCTAGTGTGCTTCAATTTTATCCTGCCCCTCCTTTACAGAGCTCCATTTTACTTTGCTCCTCTATTTTATATAACCAGGTGTGTATATATAATAAGTCACCCTTCCATGGGGGAAATTGAAAAAGCATTATGATCTCTTTATGGTGAGATTGTAAAATGCAGTGTTATATCCAGCATTAGAATAAATTTGTTTGAGCAAGGTCTATTACACATTGCCATCTGAGCTAGTCACGTGAGTGTTTTCTAGTAGAAGAAATAATAGAGTTCTTTGCACTTAGGTGCAGGAAGTACAGCCATAATTCACGTAAACGGACAGTTACGTTGGGGAAAATGCATATCGCTGCTTTGAAATGTCCCTGTATTTTCAGATTATATCCCTAAGGATTGTCATAAGGGAGGTATGACTGTGCAAATGTTGTTACAGAACATTTCTCATCATCCCTCAACATTGTGAACAGTGGCTGGAAATGACCAGAATTGGACTTTAGCAACAAGTTACACATACTTGATAATTAGGATGAAAAAGATCAGGCCCTAGTACACGGTTAACAAACACCGTTCAGAACATCTTCTATGGCAGTGTTTTTCAAACTTGGCTGCTTGAAGATGTGTGGATTTTAACTCCCAGAATTCCACAGCCAGCAAGAGTTGAAGTCCACACATTTTCAAGCGCCCAAGGTTGAAAAACACTGCCATAGAAGATGTTCTGATGTGTCATAGGCATCTGCAAGGGAAGGTAGATCAAAGAAATGTCACACATACTTTACATGCTTGTGTCTGATGCTGAGGTACAAGTATGGGAGACTGGGGTTTGTTATCATGATGGTTCCTGACATTATCTTTGCATCATCACAGTGTATAACAGGTGAAGTATGGTCTGTTTGGGAATTTTAAAGAGAATACTCTTAAATGAAGATTAGGCCCAATCAGAACAACTAGTGAAGATTGCTTGTTTTTTTTATGAACAGAGTATAACACTAACCTCAGTGCCCAGCATACTGTTACTGTGAGGACAATTATTAGCAGTAGTAAATTATTACAGTCCTGGATACCACTTCTTAGCTATCTTGTGTATATTCTTTTGTTTAATTTTTAAAATAGCTAGTTTCTTCCTATTTAATGATGGTACTCTATGTATCCATAGAGAGAATTAGAATCACTTCAATACTGAAAACAACAGGTTTGGGGACAACTCCCCCCCGCCCCTTATAGATGGCGATTGCTTTCTTTATCCAGTCCAGCAATTCTTCTGAGGATAATGAAGAAGTACTTAGGAAGAAAAGTGCTGGTGAATTCAGATTGTTGAGAACATGGCCAATTTATTTTTCATTTTGAGAATATTGATTGGTTTATTGATGAGCCAGGTGGACAGGAGAGTTTAACTTATACAGCTCTTACCCTTGTATTATTTTGTTCTTCTTAACATTGATGAGGAAGGACTTACTGACTAACTGCTGTTGAATCGTTAAGTCATTACACTGCTTGTTTATTTATGTTCTACCTGCTATTATTGTTTCTGTTCTGTTTTCATTGTGGTTTTAGTCTTATCCCATGGTACTCCAGTATCGACCCAGAATTGACTTCAGTTAAACCAAAGGGCCAGATTCTACTGAGATTAAACCTGCACTATGTTGTTTACCCATCGACAGATTGCACAATGAATGGATGTGCCTGGATTGGGGGGGGAGGGGGGGAAACCACTCGAATTTCAACCTGCGAATATGGACTTCTCTTCAGCTGATCAATTACTTTGTCCCTGCTGTTAGAGTAAACCAAGTGCCATTCTACAACTGAAACATTCATGATATATTTGTGGCATCAAAGACTGTAAATTATAGCCAAATCATTAAATGTATAGTCCAGAGTCAGAATCTCTCGAATATTTGCTTTGCCTGATAGAAAACTTAAATGGTTCCATAACACCGATTACATTAGAAAAAATAGCTGTCTTCTATTTCTCTTGTGGTATCATTGGTTTTTTCCCCACATGTACTGTTTTACTGAAGAAAAAGTTGTTTAAAAGTACTGTATGAAAGGTTAAAAACTATACCTTTAAATATTTTGTATATAATACATGTTTCAGAAACGTGGTTATTTTACTCGTTCAGATTCTCATAGAATCTGATGTAGTTCACTCATTAATATACAGTGATCATTTAGCAGTATCTGAAGAGTTAGATTTTGTATCAAAGGAGTTAAAAACATCTAGACTGAATTGAACTTGACTAGTACAATATCAAATGGTCTCCTTCAATAATACACAAAACTTAAAGTTTTGATTTGGACTAATAGCACATTGTTACATGTGCAGCAGGTAAAATAAGAGTTTTTAAAATAAGAGATATATTTAAATTTTATTGTAATTTAACTAAAAAGAAAAACTATCGTGAAAACTTTATTCTCAAAGTGTGGCTTATATTTTTAATTGCTGCTTTCCCTTTGAAATTTGGTAATAATACTAGAAAGTTGTGGGTTGAAATTGGTGGTCTTAAATGTGTTGGATTACATCCACTGAAATGGCATTTGCTTCGGTATTCTTTAAACATATTCAGTAATATGCATCAGTACATTATAAAATGAGCCGGTTAATTGCATCACAGCCCAGTCTAGGTTTACCAGGAATCTTACTGTTGTTATGAAATGGGTTATCAAGTGTGAAATTCAAGTAAATTTGAATGGTTACAAAGCTATCTGACCAAAACTACTGGATGTTCAGGGTGTTTGGTTTTTTTCATAACAGTAGTGTTCAAAAATATTAAATGGTTGCCTTAGGTATTATATGTGAATTCTTGTTCAATAATGTTGTGCTATGGATATTACTGCAGAAATCACAATGTATTGTATACTGTTTTTTCCTCGTCTTCCATTACTTTTTTGCAGTTAAAAACAAAGGTAACAGTCAAATTTAACTATTTGTATAATTTTTAATAAACATCATTCTTTATATAGTAAATTACATACCATAAGACAAGTAATTCACTCTAGAAAACTAGTTTTGGAAACTAAGCTCGAATTCTGTATGCCTTCCTTGTAATACAGCGGTCTTGTAAGTAAAAGCATATAAAATAGATCATTATTTCTAGGGGGAAAACATTCTATTTGCACCAGGTCAAATCCCACACTAATAGACCTGGTTCTAAAGCTCTAGTCCAGAGTAATCAGCTGTACATAGATTAAAATACTGTGCAATGCTTGTTATGCCTGGGGCCAGTACTTTCTGACAAATATAGAGAATTCTCAGATAAATGTTAAATCATCTGTTAAATGTTCTCAGCTCATTGAAAAAGTATCATTTGTACATGCTTTTTTTGTTAGATGCAATAGGTTGGATCCAAATGCCAGTTTCAGCTCCTGCCTAGGAGATTTTTTTTCTTTTTTAAATAGTTAAATGTGCCCTATGGCATACCAAAACAATATTTTTGCTGTTCCCTTCCATTTTCAAAGCAGCTGATACATTGCTTTCGAAGCTACTTTTAAATATACAAAACTTTGGGCCCATGGAACTCATTCTGTGAATCTTTGTCAGAATTTTGTATATTCTGATTGGGTTTACCCATTGTGCTTTGTCATCACAAAGTTTGTTGGGTTTTGGCTTAGCTTATGCTGTGAACCCATGTGGTTTGCAAACTATGATTGATGGCTTTGATGACATATTAACCCAGCCAGTTATGATTTATCCAATAAATCAATCATGCCATAACACCGAAGAAGTCAGATCTAGTTGGGGACCTGATTACATAAAGTTGTACATAAAGCTCTTTCAGTCTTCAGTTTAATATGTATATAATGACAACAGATTTCTTAATGCATTCAGTGTCTTAAGAATGGCTTTGAATATTCCCTTCAAGCAAGGGGGTAAATATATGTGTGTGTGTGTGTGTGATTTGTGGGTTTTGTTCCATAATTCTGAATAACACCCAACGCTGCAATTCCCATATTCCTGGGACAAATGACTATGAACCTAGAAGTATGTATGTCTCCCGATGGAGAAGATACATAGGGCATTACTTTCTACTTTATCCTAAACCCTAGGAAATGGACGCATAGTTCAAATTTTCAGGGTTTTTGCGGGAATCTAAATTTGCCTGCTCCTGGGACATCTTATCAATATAGATCAGTCCTACATAATGCCTTTATCACTTTTTTTCTGGTATTTTTTGCAATTAATTGAAAGATCTTCCACTATTGCTGAGCAAACATAGCTAACTCATCAGCAGTGAGACTTATCTGTCCCAATACTAAGAGGAAGCATCTAGTCTTTTTCTCATGTCAGCACTCTATCAGTCAGAGCATTGTTAAAATTAAACATTCATGCAACTGTAAAAGCATTCTTGATTTTACAATTAAGTATGTGCACAATCTCTGTTTCAGGTTTCCTCTGCAGAATGAGTAATTATTGCTTTATCTTGTCTCATTAGAAGAAATGTAATATTCCATGGGTTAATTCCAACTGATCTGTGTTACATTTCCAATCTCCTATTTCTTATTATACTGTAGAGGACTGAAGCGTTTTGTCCTAATCTGCCAAAATATTTTCTGCTGTACCTAGCAGGGATTTTGCCTTTTGCTATACAAAAAGACCGTATGAAAACAAATGTTTGTGCTCTGAGGTAAAAAGAAAAACTTTCAACAACAATTCAATGAATTTTCAGATTTCAGAACCAGCTTATTTCATTATTTCATTGTTGTAATATTATTTAGCCATGATTGGTAAAAAAATTTCCAATTGAGTTGGGGGGGGAAAGCATATAAAAGTCCAAGATATGACTTCTCAGCTGTGAAAGTAAAAGCCTTAAAATATTTCTTGCACATCTAACCTCCTTGTGGCCTAAAAATTTGCATTTCTGATACAGGTGCATTGTACCTCTACACTGTAGATGCTTTTTGTCAAAATTCACATCATGTTAATATAGTGATAGAGAATCTGAGCATTTCCTTGTAAACATGAAGAGAGGCTTTTATTTAGCCACTGAACCAAAAATCCCTAATACGCTTTTACTTTACAGTAATTTTTCACAAAGCGACACAAAGGAAATGAAATTATCCATTGAAAGCAATAAAACAAAATTTAGTTGGGGAGTAGGTTCCCTTTTCATCAGTATCCTATTCACTTTAGATGCTTGTGAATGTGGCATGTGTACTCAGGCTTATTTCAAAATACGTCCTTTTCTCTGAACAAGAGGAAACTGCAGGAGGTCTACAGCAGGGGTGTCAAACTCGATTTCATTAAGGGCTACATTAGATTGTGTTTGACCTCGGGGGCTGGGTGGGCGTGGCCAACTCAAACCCAAAGCTAACCTTCTCTGAGCCAGTCCTTGAGTATTGAGACACACCCCACCACACCCAGGCCTATACACAGTTATAGTTCTGGCCACGCCTAACTTACTATATCTAAATGCTATTAACCCTATAACATGTCTACATCCCTAACCTATTCTGATCCTCACTAACTGATCCCCACCTGGTTCCACTTTCACCATGTCTTAACTTAATGCTTAATTACCACCTATATGTGCCCCAACCCCCTCTAACAATATACACCACATCAATACATGAAAGAAACCATTCCCAGCCCCGCAGTTGCTTCAGAATCCATCCTGCAGCTCACAGCTCTGCTGACTCATTCTACAGCAACCTTCAACATCATCAGCTAGCACACAAGCAGCAATACAGATCCGGCGTCAGCAAAGCTAAGGTAATATTCTCCACTGCCAGCTGACTTGCTGCGAGGTGTGTTCGGAGCTGAAGGGCTCCATAGCGAACTCAGAGCCCAACAGGTGAGCGTGGCCAGCTCAACGTCCTGCAGCAAGCCAGCTCAACGTCTCTGCCAGCAAAAATGGAGCTCAGAAGGCTGTCCTGAACTCCATTTTCGCTGGCAGAGGTTCTGCAAGTCAGTCCTTTGCTGTTTCCAGGATAGCCCGACAGGCCAGATCTAACCACCCTGCAGGCCAGATCTAGCCCGTGGGCCTTGAGTTTGACACCCCTGGTCTACAGGGTGTCAGTGGCTTGTGTGGCATGATGACATAATCATGAGGTGACTTTACCTACTAACATCAAATGCCATGAGGCCATTGATAAAAGTTGTATGACCACATCATTTATCCAGTGATGTTTAGATGTCACTGTGACTCATAATGTACACTGCTGCTACGAAATACTGTAGTTCAGGAGAGAGGCTAAATCTTTTTAGGTAGAAAAGTCTCAAAATAATTGGCATCTTCAGCTAAATAATGAGTTGTATTTGGAAGTATAGATAATTCCCTACAGTATGTGGAGATAGTACTGAGTTAGATAGTACTGATAGTACTACTGTAAAACATTTTAATATACAGTACTTTGAAAGAGAATGTGTTTGCTATATTGAAGCAAATGGCTTTATTTAAATGTTACGGTTCAGTTTTATCTGTCTGCACAAACACAAAGGTAATACTTTTTTTTTCTTTTGTTAATGATAGTTTAGCTAGCTAGTTAGCTGTAATACACTTTCCAGTTACCTTTACAAGTGATCTGCCATTTTTAATGGAAGCTCATCTCAAATTCTGACATGGTGCAATTATTTTAAATAAATTATGGAAATCTATAGAGTATTAAAATATTCAGTTCTCCAAGAGAAAGTTGATGCTTGCCATTATTTACATGGAATGTACTATGAAGGCTTTACGGGAAGAAAAATATTCTGATTATTTTTGAGTTGCTAAAACAAAGTAGATCGAATATGCAGGGGGATCCACTGATTTTGTATGTGTGATAAGCAGATTGTAATAATATAAAAGAAAAATTTGCAAAATGTCTAATGTTCTTTTAAAAAATTACCAAAAGTTACTTGCTTCAAAAATATTTTTCCTTCCTTCCTTCTTTCCTTCCTTCCTTTCCTTCCTTCCTTCCTTCCTTCTTTTTTTTCTCGTTCTCTCTTACTCTCTCTGTCTTTCTCACTTTCTTTCTCTTTTTCTTTCTTTCACATTTTTATTTTCTGAATTGTTGGTTTGAAATTTGAGTTTCCTTAGAATTGATCTTGCTAATTTTTTTTAAGGTCTAACTTTATAGAAATAACTTATATTTTTATTAAAATATTTATATGAATTGAAAGTAAATGCTCTGTTAGAATCTTCCTAAGCTCCAAAGCATGCTAGTTATAAATACTGGAATTATGACCCATAATATCATGAAAACACCAGATTGGAGAAGGCTGATTAATAATCTGGTTCTCAGTGACGTTTTCTAGCTTGGGGGAGGGGGGTGCAGAGAACCCATTTTCAAAGTAATTCTGAGTAACACCCCGCCCCCTCAGCTCAGGAAACAGGAAGTACAAATTTCAGATTTCTGTTTTTATTGCTGTTGGTTGCAATTTATTTAGCCACTGAACCAAAAATCCAATACGTTCTTACTCTACAAAGCACAAAACTGAGCAAATTATTAGCCTTTTAAAATAATTATGGTTTCATGATAACCTACTTAGCATAAGTGATAAAATATTAGCATTTGTTTTGCAAATTTTTACTATGTGTTATCTTAAAACTGATGCAATGTTGGGTACTAATTTTTTCCCAAAGTAATTTAATGGAAAACCTTTAAGAACACAGCTTTTAATATTTCCTTCTAAAAGTATCTAAAAAGTATACTTTGCTAGATTTGAGAACCATAAAATATCAATAGGCCTTTTTAGTTTTTAACAATCATCCATTTAAAAATGAAGAAATGATGCTATGCTTTAAAAAAAATAATCCAGATAACTTCTGGAAAATAAAATTGGAAAAAGGATATGCATAACTTCGTGGGGTTAAAAACATACCTAAGACTGTCTTTATAAGTTCCAAAAAAATGACAAAAAGTATGACACATGTAATAATTATCTTTGTACTTCTTTGATTATCACTATAAAAACTTCCAATATTTACATCTTAATGCACAATATTCCATTGCTATCTCTTTTTTTTTAAAGTTGGAAATATTTTACAGAGGGGTTTTTTTTGGTCAAGATTAGTAATACCTTAAGAAACCTTTTTGTGGTTCTAAAGGTTAGATTTTGAATATTCAAATTGAGGTGAAAAAGGGTCATTATTAATGACTTGGTGTCTCCTACTTGTTAAAATATATGTATTTTTATAAAAGAAATGCACTTGTAAATATTCAATCAACCTATGTTTTGTTTTGGGGAAAAATGTTGCTGCTTAGGCAATTACCTAGAAATGGTATTGCTTTGTTATTAATGACAAATTCATTCTGTTTCTGTCTAAATAGTTACAGCTGAGCTAGATGCATTTTATATATGGACTTAACCCAAATATGTCTTGAGCATGCCACAAGAGTTTCTCATTAAATTCACCTGAAGGCAGAATATATATTGGTGCCGTGTGTTCATCTTCTATATTAGCTTGGTGGTGTCTTATAATTTCTATTTTTGTCATTGTGACATAACAAGTTCATTACGAGAGCTGCAATCCAGAATAATCGCAGCAAAGGATATTTTCAGTTGTGCAGACTCTAAAAGGGCTGTCAGATTTTGAAATGAAAAACACTAGAAGTGAAGGTCCAGAAGAAGGACTTAGAACAGGCATGGCAAAAAGAGAAAATTAAGGAGATTGATCACCAAAATGTTATCACCAGTGCCCCGAATTCTATCACAAGCCCTCTATTGTGGGGTACTTTTACAACTGAACACTAAGCAAATATAGGTGGCCTTTTCTAGAGCCCAATTCCATGCCTTCAGCTCTACTGGAGAGAAGATTGCATGGGACCCCTTATTCCCAGACACTTTGCAAAAATTTTAATTAGTTGTGCTGTTTATTGCCCTCTTTCCCCCCTTCCCTCGTAACTAATTGCTGTATTAAACTATTTCTCTTTTTACTGTACTCTTTTATTGTAAAAGCTGGTCAGATATTGCAATAAAGATATTTGATATGACATGATAGAGCAGAATTTTTAAAAAAGATACTCAGCATGGTCGATCCATTGCCCATACATTCATTCATAAGTCTGCTATTATGGTTGATTGCATAGTCAGCCAGATATTCAGACTGAATTTGGCATTTTTGTCTACCTGTCAAGTTCTTGCCAATTATATTATATTCATTATATACTGATTGTAAACCTTCTGTTCTTCAGACTGCACTGATTGCTAATATCAAGAATATCTATAGCATAAGCTATAGAAACCCCACCCCTTATATCTTATATGGGGCAACATGCTTCTAGCTCATTGGATAAAATTTATAAAAATTAAATCAGGCAAATTGTAAACATAATTTGCTATTTAGCATCAGAGTGCTACTTTTTGAAAGAATATATGCATTGACACCTAACCTGCAACCTATGACAAACGTTTTTCTGGCCCTTTTATTTTCTGTATATTTTGTGCTGTAAAAATTATTTAAATCATGTGAAAAAATACTCATTTGTAATGGCTTTAAAGGAATATATATGTTGGGAACAGGTATACTAAGAGATCTTCATATGAACCGTAGAAACTCAAAAAGACTTCAGTATCAGAATTGTAATTTTTCATGCAACACTGATTATAATTCAGTTCGATTTCATTTAATCTTTGCCCATTCTTATTTTTTCTGAAGTTGAATATCTAGGTCTAAATGCAAAAGACCACATGGGCTTTTCAGAACTTCCTACTACAGAGCCCTGGAGGCTATGTTCCGACTGAGGGTTAGAAACATTGCAAACAAGAGAATACAAATGCAAGGACTACCACCAAGCCAAGGAGTTATGTGTGATTGTTTGATGAGTCTCCTAGTCTATTTTATGTGATGCATTGAATAACTTAGTAAGTAATTTTTTGGTACAGATATGGAATTCTGTTATTTTAGAAATGCAGATGTTGAGGCTTAAATCTAAAAACAGAAAGGAGAAACAGAAGATGTTGAAGAATTGGGAAATGAGCCATTAGACAAAACACACTTTGATTTAGCGATGCAAAGAGATGTATTTGTAAACGTGAACATATGAGACAACCAATTAAGCTAACAGAAGTGGATATAGTTCATAACCACTGAACTTAGTGAAGAGTTCATGAAAAAGGGAAGCTACTGTTAATTAAGCTCAACATCTGGTGATTTTATGGACATTTCCAGGAAGCTTTTAAGCCTAAAATATAGAATACTGCAATTCACTGTAGCAGTGTACAGTAAGTACATGCTTATATGAAGAACATTCAAACATGTATTGGCTCTGATTCACAGATTATTGTTATCTGATTTATGTCCTTCATTCAGGAGCCCAAAATAGAGCACAGGGTACCTTCCTGTTTTTTCCAACAATAACCCTGCGAGATATGATGGGTTGGGAGAGTGTGAGTGACATAAAATCTACCCAAGGATCTTCTGTGATCGAGGCTGGAGTAGAAGTTTGCTCTTTCAGTCTTAACACCACACTGGCTCTCCAGCATTTTCTTAATGAGCATTAACGGTTTTCCAAATCATGTCACAAAGTCAGTGGAATCAGTTTTCTTTCCTGCATTTTCATAAACATTCTTGATTTGCCCGGTTGATTGGTCTTGGCTGTAACATCTACCAAATAATGTATCATGAAGAAACCAAGCCCTTTTAGGCAAAATGCTCCATCTACTGGCCAATTTATTGAGGTTTCACTCATTTTTTGGTTCTGTCTTGATGTAATCTCTACAGAAGGAAAGTTTGTTCTTTAATATTTTTGAGGGTGGACCTTGAAGAAATCACTGCAGGGCTTTTGCAGCCCATGGTGTTGTTCTGTTTCCTGTGGGGATAGCTTCTGACAACATCTGTCTTTTGATTCTCAAGCTCAGCTTCACTGTTTTAGTTTATTCTGAAAGCAGGGCTTGTACAGTACCTGAAATTTACATGCACGTATAGATATGCACAAGATTCAGGATTTGGAATTTCCCATTTTATGATGTATCCATTTGCACACAAGTTTTCACCTTGTCCGTCCATTTTGCTTAGGATGTAGGCCTACCCTCCTGTCAGCATGAAGGGACTACTGGAGGAGGATTTTGAGTGCATATTTACCCACAATAGGGGCACACCTGCCATGTGGAAAAGCTTTTGATTGAAGATTTACATTCCAGCATGTTCACAGCCATATCACCTCAAGTTTACTGCATGTCATTAACTATCCTATCTAGGGAAATTCACCAACATTTTTACAACCAGCCATTCCAGGAGGAATGAGGGAAGAATGCTGCCAAGTTATAACAGTTTGAAAGGTAAGGGTAGATCTGAAGAATTCCACATTCATTTAAATATGGTTTGAGTGCCAAAGATTGGAAATCTATGTTCTGGAAAACTTCTTGGTATGAACCCTGTGCATTTATTAATAAAGCTATGCATATATGTGTGTGTGTCTACAAGTCTAATTTGTACAATAATTCTGTGTTCCACAACAGGTTCATATTTCCTTTTATTTGTCCTAACATTAATTCAAGAAAAAATAAATGTATTGCCACCTTGCTTAGATAAGCCACCCAATTGTTAAGTCTGGAAAATATAGAGGGCCCTTCTTTTCCATGTGAAACAGGGCTTGCCTGTTTCTACTTAGCTTCCAGTTAGTGATAATTCAGCATTGGACAAAACATATGAGAATCATAAGTAGTTCTCCCACATATCTATATATTTCTAAAACTCTTGTTCATTTGGTGCTTTGTAAGCTTCAATTAGGCAAACTACTGTATCATAGGGCAAAACCCTATCAACAGAGATAGTTCAAATGGACTAACTTACAAAATACAAGGATCGGGG